TAATGCACCACTACTAATTTCTTTTGGAACTAAAAGAATACTATTTTAAGAGATTTACAGTGATTTTTTGAAAAACTTTTGGGACAAAAATTGCCGATTCGGTTGATTCTTCGATCCGATCTACCGATCCGACATCGGTATGGGTGAGACTGATTCGAGTCACCGATCTGTCTTTTTAAACTTTGTTTTGAATCTCAAACTCTTCTTTCATGGCGGCTACCCATTGGCTCTTTTAAGGACAAGCTAAGGCTTCTTGATAAAAAGTAGGCTCATCACTGGGGTCATCTTCATTGTGCTCACAATGTTCCTTGAGGTAAGTGAAAAACTCAGGTCTTTTTTTAATTTGGTTATTTGTCCTAGGTGGTGGTGGATCAGGGTTTTTCGTGACTTAACCTTGTCACTAGCCTCAAAGAAGTGGGCATCCTTGCTTTCTAGGACAGCCCCTTTTCACGGTTAAAGGAAGGATGATCCTTACCGTGGTGTGGGTATCCATTGAAGATGCATTTAACAGTCTTAGGGTCTAGTCTTGTCCATAGTAACTGTGAACGGGATTAGGAACGGTTTCAGGAATGTTAACGGCTTCAAAAACAAAAAAAAAGGGTTTCGGGATTGGGAATGGGATCGTTGAATCGAGACGGTCAAAACAATCTATTAGACCAGGATCGGTGTCCATATAGAATGTTAAGCATGGAACTGGTTCCCATTCTATATAAGATCTCGGTCAATGACTCAAAAAGCGATCTGCCCAGTGCCTAGGAGGCTGCCTAGGGAGGCTTGGTCGCTCAGCCCAGGTTTGAGTGGACCAACTAGGCCGGCTGTCCTTGGGCGCTTGCCTAGCACCCCGCCTAGGCGGGTCCCTAGGGGACTTTGCCCGCCTAGGTGCAAAAATACCCATTGGGTGAGGTATTTTTGGTGTTTTCTTTTGTTTGGGATATAAAATTGTGTGAATATGCATTTGATGCCCAAAAACTATGGGGCTTGCCCAAGGTCTTTCATCTTGAAGTGATGCTTCTTTGTTTCCAAAAAGAGAGCCATTCAACTACTAACTATTTGCATGTCATCCACATAGAGCCAAATAAACACCAAATTACTCCCACTTACCACCTTGATATAAATGCAATTGTCTTCCCCATTAGAGGGACAAGGTTTCTTGAATCTTAATGTACCACAGTCGTGATGCGTATTTCAGGCCATAAAGGGAGTTACGACGTTTGTACACAAGGTTCTCTTTTTCATTTTCTATGAAACGCTCATGTTGTTTCATATAGATCTCTTTTTCTAGCTCTGCATTTAGAAATGTAGTTTTCACTTCCATCTAATGGACTTGGAAGTCAAAATGGGCAGCTTTGGCTATCAAAATCCTGATGGATGGGAACTTAGCTACAAGGGAGATCATCTAATAATAATCAATCCCCTCTTTTTGGGTAAAAATTTTAGCTGCAAGTCCGGCTTTGTACTTCTTTAGTTTTCCCTTTGAACTTCACTTTTTCATGAAAATCCAGTTTCACCCTATGGGTTTTCTGTGAGGGGATAGAGGAACAACTTCCTACACATGGTTTTGAACTATGGAGTTAAACTCTTCATTCATGGTGGCTACCCATTGGTTATTTTAAGGACAAGTTAAGGCTTCTTGATAAAAGGTAGGCTCATGACTGGATTCATCTTCAATGTGCTCACAATGTTCCCCTAGGTAAATGAAAAACTCAGGTCTTCTTTTAATTTGGTTAGTTTTCCTAGGTGGTGGTGGATCGGGGTTTCGTGACTTAACCTTGTCATTAGCCTTCTCATAGAGATCGGCTTTTTTTGTGACTACCTCTTGCTTCTAAGAACTCATTCTCAAAGAAGTGGGCATCCTTGCTTTCTAGGACAGCCCCATTCTCAAGGTTAAAGGAAGGATGATCCTTACTGTGGTGTGGGTATCCAGTGAAGATGCATTTAACAGTCTTAGGGTTTAGTCTTGTCCATAGTTACTATGAACGAGATTAGGAACGGTTCTGGGAATGTTGACGGTTTCAAAAAACAAAAAGAGATTCCAGGATTGGGAATGGGCTTGTTGAATCGAGAGGGTCAAAAAAATCTAGTAGACCGAGATTGGTGTCCATATACATGTTAAGCACGAAACTGGTTCCCATAGTATATAGGATCTCGGTCAATGACTCAAAAAGCGGTCCGCCTTGTGCTTAGGAGGCCGCCTTGGTAGGCTAGGGGGGCCTCGCTGCCCTGCCCAGGCCTGGGCGGACCAACTAGGCAGGCTGTCCCTAGGCTCCCACTTAGTACACCCTGCCTAGGCGGGCATCCAGGGTACCTAGGTGGTCGCCCAAGGGATTACGCCTGCCTAGGTTCAAAAATACCCATTTGGGTGAGGTATTTTTGGTGTTTTCTTTTTTTTGGGTTATGAAAATTGTGTGAATATGCATTTGATGCCCAAAACATATGAGGCCTGCCCAAGGTTTTTCTTGTTGAAGTTGTGCGATTGAAAAGTCTTTGTTTCAAAAACGAGAGCCATTCAACCACTAACAATCAGCATGTCATCCACATAGAGCCCCATGAACACCACATTGCTCCCACTTACCTTGACTTAAATGCAATTGTCTGCCTCATTAGAGGTAAACCCGCCTTGGACAAGGTCTCTTGAATCTTGATGTACCACGATCGCGATGCTTGCTTTTGGCCATAAAGGGATTTACGAAGTTTATATACAAGGTTCACTTTATCTTTTTTTATGAAACCCTCATGTTGTTTTATGTGGATCTCTTTTTCTAGCTTTGCATTTAGAAATGCACTTTTCAATTCCATCTATTGGACCTAGAAGTCAAAATGGGCAGCTTCGGCAATCAAAATTATAATGGACCGGAACTTTGCTACAAGAGAGATCATCTAATAATAATCAATCCGCTCTTTTTGGGTAAAACCCTTAGCGACAAGTCTAGCTTTGTACTTCTTTATTTTTCCCTCTGACCTTCACTTTTTCTTGAAAATCCATATTCACCCTATGGGTTTTTCGTCATGGGGTAGAGGAACAACTTCCTACACATGGTTTTGAACTACGGAGTTAAACTCTTCATTCATGGCAGCTACCCATTGGTTCTTTTCAAGACAAGCTAAGGCTTCTCGATAAAAAGTAGGCTCATGACTGGGTTCATCTTCAATGTGCTCACAATGTTCCCCTAGGTAAGTGAAAAACTCAGGTTTTTTTTGTTTTTAATTTGGTTACTTCTCATAGGTGGTGGTGGTTGATCGGGGTTTTGTGACTTAACCTTGTCACTAACCTTCTCATAGAGATTGGCTTTTTTTGTGACTACCTCTTGCTTCTAGGAACTCATCCTCAAAGAACTGGGTATCCCTTGCTTTCTAGGACAGCCCCATTCTCAAGGTTAAAGGAAGGATGATCCTTAACGGTGGTGTGTGTATCCAGTGAAGATGCATTTAATAGTCTTAGGGTCTAGTCTTGTCCATAGTTATCGTGAATGGCATTAAGAACGGTTCCAGGAATGTTAATAGTGTCAAAAGAAAAAAAAAGGAGGTTCTGAGATTGGGAATGGGATCGTTGAATTGAGAGGGTCAAAAAATTATAGTAGACCGCGATTGGTGTCCAGATAGCATGTCAAGCATGAAGCTGGTTCCCATAATATATAGGATCTTGGTCAATGACTCAAAAAGCGGTCCACCCAGTGCCTAGGAGGTTGCCTAGGCAGGCTAGGGGGGGCTGCCGCCCCGACCAGGCTTGGGCGGGCCAACTAGGCTGGCTGCCCATGGGTGCCTGCATAGTACCCATCCTAGGCAGGCTCCCAAGGTACCTGGGCGACTGCGCCCGCCTAGGTGCAAAAATACCCATTGGGTGATGTAGTTTTGGTTTTTGTTTTTGTTTGGGTTATAAAAATTGTGTGAATATGCATTTTTTATACAAAATCTGAACCTAAAACAGGATTACTGGACACCTCTTGGCCTTTTTTGAATCTAGACTGCCTAGGTTTTGGGTGGCCGCCTAGGCACTGGGCGGCCTAGCCCCCTCAGCCGCCTAGGTACCGCCCAGCATTTTTTGGAACACTGATCTTTGTCCCAATGCATATGGGATCTCAATTCCAATGCACAACGGACGTCAATCCCAATTCTTGATGGATTTCGACCCCAATTGCTAGGGATCTCGATCCCAATTGTTAAGGGTCCTAGATCTCCAAATATAATGGATACCAATCCATTACGTAATGAATTTCCAACTCACTGTGCATGGTAGCTCGATTTGGACGTATAAGGGAGCTTGAACCCAATTGGAAGGGGATCGTGATCCCTCTACGAATCGAAAAACATAACATGGTCAATTTTGGTCAACTTAGTGGTTACTTTTTTATTTTGTAATTCCATAAAAAACATATTAGTGTACCAATCAATGTTAATTTGTTTGGTGAAAAAATGTGTTTATTGCTTGATTTTTTTGCATTTTGTGGGGTACGGTTTGCATATTACAACTCTCTAGTCTATATACTAGAATACTCCACAGTCTATGCTCTAGACATCCCTTGTTGGACAAGGAAGAATTAATTTCCATAAATGATCTATCAGGCTATAGTATAATGAGGAAGAACACACTCCCACTGAAGTGCATATTATAGTTGAAATTATCATTTTTACAAGTTCTTTAGGCCTTTAAAAGCCACAAAACCCAACACCTTCCATTCATGAGCAGGAACCATTACTATAAAGTTGTTAGTTCCCGTTCCCACCTGTGAGAGTAGAAATAAGCACAGATCATCCCAACTTGGCTAGTACAGTTGAATATTCTTTCTAAAGATCGTGTAATGTCTCTTTCTAAAGATCGTGTAATGTCTCCTCTGAAAGGATGTTATTTTCACTAAGTGTGAGAGTGGAAGTTACCAAGAAATTCAAATTGCCAGTCATGATTTGGGATTCAATTAAACTTGGTGTGAACTTTATATGAATGCCATCATTACATTCTGTTGGCTATTATTGCTGCTGATGCATTTCTTGTATTGGTAATACAGAAATCAGCAGGTGGAGTACTGTTACCTAAATCAGCAGTGAAATTGGAGCGGTATCTTATGGGAGAGGTGAATCAACTTTTTTTTTTATGGTTTAAAACAATTTGTTGTGTGTGTGTGTTTGTGTGTGTGTGTGTGTGAGAGAGAAGAGAGAGAGAGAGAGAGAGAGAGAGCTTTATTAGTTAATTTGAAAAATCAAACAGGAAAAACAGAATTATAACCTACATTTAATCATACAATGCATATATGTTTACTGAATGGGTCACTGTGATCAGGTTCTCTCGGTTGGTAAAGAAGTAGGCAGTGTGGAAGCAGGCAAAAAGGTACTTGCCATTGTGGAATTGCATTGATAAATAATGTATTTGTGAGAAACACTATATGGTGGAGATGCTAATGAAATTATTTCCTTCTGAAACTGTAGGTTCTTTTCTCGGACTTGAGTGCATATGAGGTATGCAGTTTTGGATTGAATTTTTCAAACAAGATACAAATATAAATGGAAAATGATGGGTTTGTGTTTGCGCAGGTGGATTTGGGAACAGATGGGAAGCACTGCTTTTGCCGTGAAAGTGATCTACTAGCCCTGGTTGAGTGACTCCTCTCTCTCTCTCTCAGGAAATTAGGGAAATGGGCCGTGTGGTCCAGGAGGTTTTGATATGGGCATTGCCATGATTGTTGCTTACTGTTGAATCATGTTTACTTTATTTATATGATGGGAAAGTGGGAAACCCTTGAGAGATTTTATCATTGTGATGGATCATTGCATGTGGCTTTTTTATTTCTTTTCTTTGGGGTAGTTAAGCTGGCCTCCTAGAACAAGAGCTGGTCTGCTAAAAATCAAACAGGTACTCTGTTTTCATAGTTGGTCCCTTAATAATAATAAAATCTGTAGAAACAATTTGTGGATCGATTAAGTTAACCTTCTTCAAAAAAACAATTTGTGGATCAAATGGCGTGAAGGGAAATAGTGTCATTATGGTAGAGATATTATTGGTCATACCACTATTCTTCATCATCGTGTTGAGGTTATTTCTAGGCAACACTTATTACCCTCAAATTCCTTTATTTTCCTCTTTTTCATTTGAAATGACCATGGTAGACAGAGAGAGGAGGGGGTTGTTGGGGGAATGGTGAGGTTTCTTTCCAATCCAATTTTATCGATGTCTCAATACTAATTTGGAGTTTCTTTTATTATTTTGAAATGGCCATAGCACCTTTATCAAGTGCTGTGTCACTATCCATATGTAAGTCTCATATGGTTAGACTGGAATTGACAATTTATAGGGCCCCTTGCTCTCCTCAGGAGCTCTGGCATGCATTATATCCGAAAAGGAATCAAGTGGAGGTACACATTACAAAAATGATGACAAAACTACCATAGATCTCTTCTATTTTCAGTTATACAGACTTCTTCTTTAGGGAAAGAAGTAGTTGGAGATTTTAGGAAGAAGCACCTTTGAAAACCTGGAGCAGCACAAAATATTAGAGTACCTATATGTAGATTGTTTTGAAGTGTCCAAAACAGCCCAAAGATATCCCTGTTATCAGGCAAAAATTTATAGCCTTTCTTCTAACAGGTTAAAAATACAACCCATACAAGTTTGAAGTAGAAGATCCTCAAGAGGCTAAATATCTTGTAATACGTAAACTCTTCGGGGCATGGTACGAGAAACCCTCAGCCATATTGAACTATGAGCATCGGAAGGCTTGTCCATCCTCATATAGACCAAATTGGTAATGGCTGTCATGGATTGAGGTTCTTCCTTTGGTCACCACAGCTTCAGAAACCAGGGTTAGATTCCTATTGTCCTAACAAAATTGATTTTGTTTTTGGGGATCAAGAATCTTCATTCAGCTTCTGATTCTTCAGGATCACTGTTCAAGAACATTTCACTTTCATCAATTTCTTCCTCAGATTCGAATTCTTCCTCTCTTCTCTTCCTCTCCTCCTCTTCCCTTGCTCTTTCGGCTGCACGGCTCTTAGCAACCTCAAGTCGAGAACTCACCACATCCCATGCAACAAGCTTCTCCATAATTGTGGACACATATTTGGCTCGGCGATTCTGCAACATTACAGAGTAGCATGATGATGTGCAGGACAAATTAATCGCCCATCTTTTATATATCTATTTATCTTTAAGTATGCAAGCCTATGTATGCATGCAAATGCATGTGTGCTTCGTGCGTAAAGTACTGACCTCATAGTCCAGATAGTATGCATGCTGCAGACAAAAGTCAGCAAAATTAGAAAAAGTTCATCGATATATGTTTAATGAAAAATTAACAGGAATGTAATGGTTGTCGCATGTCAAGAATGATTGGCATAGAATACCTCCCAGACATCGATAGTCAGCAAAGGCTGCATAAAATTAACAGGAAAAACATTCAGAGCTTTTGATTTTCACTCTCTTAGAATTCATGTGGAAACACATTTATTAATAAATTGACATAAGAAAACATAAAGATTGGAACCATGAAGCAGAAGCAGAAATTTGGTGACAATCATATAAACATCATTATTTTATTGACATAAACGAATTATACCAATAAACATTGATTACTACAAGCACATTTCTGGTTCCTAAGACAGAATCCACATGCATTTTTTGTCCATAGCACGATGATAAAGATCACCAACTCTGTAGAAGTAGTAAATGAGAAGTTGATTCATTTCCATCTCCCTCCAAAAGTATGTCAATGAGAACTAAAAACTCATTCAGAGATTTGTTTCATTCAGCGCTTCTTTGCCTATCAGGGAGATTTTCATGCCAAAATTTCTCTCGAAAAGTAATTAGAATCACATATAGGAATCCTTGTATGTGGTCTACACTGAAAGATCAAATTGCCTATATCAATTCCACAGTTCACATGTTTAATCTGAAAATTAAACTGGCCTACAAATCTTTGTTTGCATAGGATATGTAAGATTCTGGATAATGGGAATTGCTCCTAGTTCTTGGTTTAACCTAGAAGGTTAGGTTTATGGATAGTCAGTGTTGTCCCCAAGCCCTAATTTTCACCTGAAGCCAACATTCATCAATTTAAAATCCCAACTGCAATCAGGAAATTCCCAGAGGCACAATTTCTCAAAAAAAAGAAAAAAAAAAAAAGTCTCGGGCACAAAAAGAAAGACACCCTTACTTCTAAAATCTCCATTAGTACACCCTTTCTCGTACTCAATTTGATTCTTGCATAACCAGCCCAAAGAGGGTAGCATCGGAAGACACATGAGATTGCAGTCTCCAAGAGTCAAGTTATAGAGATAAAATTACTACCCCTGTACATCTTTAAAACCCAATAAAAGACCCACGCCTGCCTTCATAATCCCAAACAGTAACATATCAACAACCTCTTTATAGACCTCTACACCTGACTCATCCTATATCTGGCTACTGCCACAATGGATTTTTTCTTTCTTCTTTATAATCAGTGCTGGTTAACGAAAATAAATGTACAAGTAACAAAAGCACAAGATAACTGATTAATTATCGAGCTCCACCAACGAGGCATTGGGAATACATCAGAGGTTCTGCCCCAACTTCACCCCAAAAATAGAAATACAATACTGTAGACACCCTTGAGACATGATAATGGCGCTTTCTTTTGATAAGTAACAGTTTATTAAAACATTTTGGCATTGGTACAAATGTGGAAACAGGGTAGTAAAAGAGATGTCAAAGTGGCATCTTGACAACCACTCCGATTACAGACTCTCAACTCACACCACTATTTGCAAAAGCATCAGTTGAAGATAGCATTATTCCCAGGTTTTCAAGACAGGAATGGAGACTTATTATGGGATTCCATCAGAAAAATGACTTCAAACATGCTGGCTGTATATAATAACTATGTTAGAAATAGTCAGTCAAATCTTTTCATCACGAATGTAAATTGAACTTATGCATTTAAGACTAAAAAGACTTAACTAGATTCACGGACCTGGAAAGAAGCCTACGGAATTATACATGATATTTGTTATGTGTGAACCAATACTCCGTTAGGCGAAACTGAAAAACGATCATATCACTATTAGGGATACAACAAACTGGTCTTAGCACAATATTATTAACTTTTTCACAAAAACAAAATATTAATTCATACTAGTTATAGTCTAGAACATTGAGGTTAAGGTGGTAGCACCACCCGTGACTCAGCTACTGGTCTTGGTTTCCATTCCTACCAATACCAACCCTTTCGAAAACTACTAACAATTTCAAAAATTGCTAACACACTACTAACAGTTAACGTTAGATAAAAAAACAATTTGATAACTGCAGCAGTCTACAGCCAATCAACTTGAAAAAGTCCTCCATACTTACCGAGTAATCCCAAACAAGAGGATTAACTGCATTGGGAGTCCTTGCTACCACAATCTTATAGTCATTTTCTGAAGGACGAGGATTGACAGCATTGTCAACATTAAGTTTGTTTGCCTTGTCTGAAGCAAGTCAGAAAATTTCAGATCGATAACAATATTTAAGCCTTAAAAGAGAAGTTTGAAATGAATATAATGAACCCAACTGACATGTAATCCAAACCCAACCAGAACCACAATGTGCAGATGCAGTATCCACAAACTCTCTCAGAAAATCTTTGAAAGAGCCAAAATCCCTTTCAATCAAATGTAGAAGATCACCAGAAGGCTTTCCCCCTCCCCCGGGCTTCATGGATTCCCAAAAGAACTCATGATTCCATATCTGAAAAATCAAGAGAGTATCATCCTTTAGCATTTAACGAGATGGGTAAAGATTAATTTTACCAAATAAGGAGAGAACTTAAAAAAAGAGAAGAAGAAACAAACCAGCTTTAAAAAACCCAAATCCATAGTTTGTGATGTTTTTGAAAATTATTTCCTTTTACTAAACAAATTACATTAACTATTCATTTAGGAAAGAATCAGACCTGAGCAGCATTATTGAATGCCGGAAGGGGATCACCCTTATTGTAGGATGCAAGAATAATATCTTCCAAACCCATTCCATCAAGCTCAGTTCCTAATATCTGCTGGTTCAAATTCTCCACATACCCCTTTTGATGTTTTCCCCAGTGATGCTCCAAAGTTTGACGACTCAAGTGGGGCTCCAATGCAACCTTGGAAACATCATGGAAACATTAAAAGCACTTAGGAATGAGAAAATAACTAACATATGCAATACTGTTGAAATACAGTTGATCAAAGCGAGTAATGCATGAACTAATTGGGGATAAATGGGGCAAGGTCACTTACTAATGGATAAGGAGGAGGCTTCAACTCAAATTGCGCAACAATGGAAGAGCGATGTGTTATCTTTAGGTACTTCTGCAATGTATTTATTGAACATCACATGTTTCGACAGGTTCTGATGAAGTAGACCATATAAATGTAGACTTTCTAAAAATTTAGAGAGCTTTTTTATAATGATTAAAATAGAGTATTCTGTTGAGACAGATAAAGAAAACATATATTCATCTTGCAGAAAAATAGGCATCTTTAGCTCTACTAGTTGTTTCTCTCAAGTCCGAATATTGAATATATTTGGAATAACATCTGATGAATGAAACTATTGGCGTGGGTATGTTGGGGATCCAGACCTTAGGATACATCCTGATTTATACGTTTTAGGCAACCCCTATATTTATAAAAGAAAAGGAAATTAAGCTTAAATTGTGGAAAAGCACAACTTGAAGAAGAGAACTGACAATTTTCATTACCCCTGTTGCAAAAACCATTGACATTTTCTGAAACATAGGTAATGTAAGGGCGGCCCTTTTCACCTCTCTTTCAAAGCCATTTGAAAGCCCTCTATATGCTTGTATCCTTTTTGCATCAGAAAGTCCAATGTCGATAATTAGAACCTAATATTTGCTTAGAAATTACCACTACTTTCTAGAATAAAAGCTTCTTATAAACAATTTGCCTGAATGAAAAATTATATCAAAAAGAAGTTCTTGAAAGAAATAAAGCATCATGGCTTGCACAAGAAACTACACAATCCTTTGTCAGTCAGCCAGTCCTCAATGCTTTTTCCTTACAATTAACCATTCATTCATATCATAAGAAGGATGCATACATCAATGTTTACTCAAAAAGTCAAAAGCATAATAGGAACCCAAATGGAAAACTACCCAAAAATAATCAAAAGAAGAAAACCTATATACTCTTCAGAGAAGAACAGTAATTTCCCAATAAACCCCTAGGAAAGATTAGAAGCATCTACAAGTGAACAGAAACATCAAATGTAGTCCATGTTTAGTTAAAATATCAAATCCAAAATAGAAGTCCCAATTTTACAAGAAGCCAATATAGAGTGATGGCTTCACAATGTATAATCGTTTTTCATACATGTGAAGACAAATTCCATGAGAGAGAGAGAGAGAGAGAGAGAGAGAGAGAGAGAGAGAGAGAGAGAGAGAGAGAGAGAGAGAGAGAGAGA